TAAGTATACGGAGTAGTTAAGTAATTTGTGGTAAATTCCTGTAGACAAGAGAATATGTAATGTTCCTTGGTGTGATTAGTGATTGGTTTGGAGTGGTTGGGGAGCTGCTTATATCGGTATAATATAAAAATAATTCTAAAAATAAAATTAGAGCTTTAACGATTAATGACTTTCCAATACAAGCGTTATTATTTAATAATGCATGGATTTATTGCGGCTAACGCGAGCGCACATGATACAGAAAGCAGCCTTTTTGTTTTAAAAACTACTCTAGGAAGCGTTGATTTGATTAAAGCTGATAACTTTTCAACTCGCATACATTTGTTGATGCCATATTGCCTTTGAAATGATAGCTGCTCCCGAGTCTTTAAGGGCTTACATAGGTCTTGAAGGCCAAAAAAAGCTTATTTTCTCTAATTTTTTTTAAAAGATACTGAAGTATACAAATTTATTTTGTTTGTATATAAAAGCACAATATGTGGAAAAGATTTGATGAAAATTTGAATGAAAAGTAGTATATAATAAGGATTTGGTAGTGCCGTGAAGTAAACTGTCGACAAGAAAGTGCTTTCGCGGTAGTCATGATAACTTTTCATTTTTTACCTGAAATCATAAATCCAATATTTTTCTTTAAATATGTGAATTTTCCTTATAACTGAACGAAGAAAAATGAGGAATTTAAAAATCGAATTTTATGTGGCGTTTTTTACAAAAAACGTAATTTTTTGGATACAATTAGACCACATATTCGCTTGTAAATGAGTTGAAATCACAGGTAAAATAAATCCTTCGTTCAGGGACTACAAAAGATGATTAAAGGAAATGTGGAAAATTTTAACTCGATCGCTTCAATAGCCGTTAAGAAATTTTGACTACCGATTTCCATAAATTGGTTTTAAGGAAAATGCGTTTAAAGTTTCGCCATCGGTCAAGCCATGACAAAGACGGCGGGTTATAAAACTCTCTTATTTCTACAGTTTCGTCTCGATCGACTTGAAACTTGGGTAAAATATTCCTGACACTTTGTTCTTCTAATCAAAACATTATCAAAAAAATGAATTCCTTGAAGGTTGAAGACCTATGTCACCCTTAAGTAAAGCCTCTCTCTTGTTAAAAAAAAAGCATTTATTTCAAAGGGGGAAAAAATTCAATTTTGTTGAAATTTTTTAGAAGATTTGGATCTTTCAACCAATTAAAATATTCGAAACAATGCTAGAGTAGATCATTCGGGAAAGAGGCCATATAAGAAGCCAGGATTCTCTGCATGCGATCAGCTAAAAGCTTCGAAACAAAACCTTGTTTAAACTTATAGTTTTTCGGAGGATTTTTCTCCTAACCCAAATACGAATATTGTATTTGTTAGAACCTTCAGGTGGGAGTATTCTTGTATTTTCCCTTTTCTCTCATCTCTCGGGACAATCATTTAAGTAAATTGTATTATTTATCAAATATCTACCATCCAATAAACTCTTCGGCATCAAACAGAAAATCGTCCAATCGTGGAATGTGAAGAGCTTCCCACAATAATTCTCATTGAAGCGTCGCATTTTGAATGAAATGCTCGCGCGTGTGCACTTTGTGCAAATAAAAATGTCTGTCTAACATTTCATTCGTCAGCTCGACGACGACGGTCGGTCTGGTGCGGCCAGGTTTGTTGGCTTTTATTTTATGTAGCAACGCCTGCAGTTGTATGCCTTTAACTACGACTGAAGACATTGAAAGTGTACCCCAAAGGCTTTTGAAGAAGTACATCTACATAATCATACATAAAATCATAGAAAACTAGAGAGGTTGTAAGAAATGTTCAGGCCCCTGGCACTGCTTCACCGCTCCCCGATTCGTGTGCTCAAAGACTTTGTGGCGTTGGTGGCATGGTCGTGGCATAGTCAAACTTCAAAATGTGTCTGCAACAATTCATTCAAGTTGCAGACATCAACGTGGCACAACAACAGCAACAATATTTACGTCGTACTATCCATGTAATGCAGTACAATGCAGTGCTCTGAGACACGTCTAACACTTTTCCACGAGCAGAAGGTATCTGTTGCAACATTTATTTTATACGAACTATCAAGTCAGCCACGACGGTTTCGTTGTCTGTTTATCGGACGCTTTGTTTTTATTTCTATTTTGTATTCAATTCGTACGCTGCTTGAATGACTTGACTTGGCTGGTAGGCTGGCTTGACTGGCTGGTTGGCTGGTTGGCTGGTTGGCTGGTTGGCTGGTTGTCTCTATGTCTGTCCTTATGTTTGTTGCTTTGTTCCGCTCGTAGGCAGTTGCTTTTGTTTTTGTGTTTGCCAAATGTATGACTGACTTTGTAAGTGTTTTCATTCCTTTTTCTCTATTTTCTTTTACATTTGTAAACAAAATTTATGTTGATATCATCAAATACGACTTTGTTTATACATATTTATATTTCAATGGATGTGTGTAAGTGTGTGTCTCCGTGTAGGCAGTGTGAGTGGACTCGAAAGCGGCGTGAAGAAGAAAATAAATAAAAAATGTAAAAAGTTTGCTTGAACGAAATTGCATTGCAGGCATTGACATTGAGTTGTCGTTCTGTTGCAACAACAACAATAACTGAGTTAAGCTGAAAGAAGTGGGAACATTTTTTATTTTATCTCAGAAATTTGGACTTCACGAGAAGGCCCACGGTATAAAATCAACAGAAGCACCAGGCAAGGCCAGTGATTGGGTCGATAAAATTTATATTAAGCCTATTTGAGGTCCGTATCATGGAAATTACTGCAAAATTCATATCAGCTAATCAGCTCGAAATCGCCCAAAGCTCAGCTTTCATTAGCGACTCGGGTCCATTACGAACCACTCCTAGCTTAGCGCATGTGAACATTTGATGCACTAATTATATACTGCTGAAATCCCAGGCTGGCTAAGGAAAGCTGGATAGGTCGCCCACCTCGCATTCAACTTAGCCACTGACAGCAGAGATCTCGATATTTATACACTAAAGTTTTCTTCACTAGATGACAGGAGAAAGTAAGCCATCTTGAAAATCTTAGACAAATTTTTTCTACAAATTAGTATCGCCTGGATATCGGGACATGTTCATAAGGCGGTCTACTTCAGAGAAGATCGATCTTGAGCTAGCGAAATCAAGACAAGCACTTTCCGCAGCTCCGTTGTTAGACCGTTTTGATTCATGTGAACCGCGAAAGGAGAGTAGAGCTCCCGACTGTAATACGTGATGGGAGCTCTGACTGGGCATTGTACAATTTATATAAACGCAATGAGGCTGGGAATCATACTAGTGCCGTTATCTAAAGCAGAAGATGGAATAACCTATGCACTTAATGGGGCGATATAGTAAAGTACTTCCTTTCAGAGCTTTCGGATTAGAAATCTCAACGTAACCCAGCAAGCTTCGGTAGAAAGGGACGACTATAAGAGAACAGCAATCGAAGGAAGGATTGAGCTAAAGGACTTCTGCAGAAGCTAGTCTTTTCTCATATTTCTACATGTGTTGTTCTGGTCAGTGCCAGTAATGCCACAGTGATGCTCTTCCTTAGATATGACAATAACAGTGCTTTAACATTTCCTAAACAAAATGCTATCTCTACGTGCCTGCCTTTCATCGAAAGAGCGCGACTGAAGAGAACGATAAGAAATGCAAAATCTCACGCAGGCGCAATGCAATCAAAACAGAGCCAAAGTATAAGTGTAAACATAACGAAGCCAAACGAAGAGTAAACACAAAAAGCCGGCTGAAAGACACACTCTTCCCAGTATTTACATACATCCATATAAAAGCCAAGACTTCTGTTGTTGTAATAAAATCCAAGTGCTCCATTAAATGTTGTTATCGGGCTTAAAGGAAGGAAAGGTAAGAATACCGTACTAAGCGAGGGAATATCAGACAAGGAGTATTCCTCGGTAGTAATGAATGAGAGAGTAGATAACCTCCGTAATGTTCATTTGTGTACAAATGGATGACAACCCACACAAAAATATTTAGGTGTTGGTTAGGCGTCCAAAAATTTTGCGAAAGCCAACGAACCAAACGAAGGTGCATAAACGAATCCCGCCTCGACGAGTGACTGAGTGTGTGCCAAGTGGAGACGACAACGACGACAACGACGACGACTACGGTTGCGGCGACTACTGCCTGTATAGATTTAGTGGCGAGCGCAAGTGTGGCGACCACATTGAGCGAATTTTGTTGCACTTTTGGGAGGCAAAACCAGAAAAACCGCTCGCATGCCGTTGATATTCTCAAACTGTTACAAGCAAAGGGAGAGGGGTGGATCCGCTTGTGTTGTTAGTTGCATGCAATGTCGGATTGCTGGTGGCGTTGCTTTTGCATCGACGGCTGCTGTGAGCTTGCCAAACCGGCTGCTACTGCTGCTGCTCCAACAGTCCCTCCTGGTCGCCGCCTACTCGGCAGCTGGGTTTGAATTTACTTAGTGGACTGGTTGACTCGTTGGTTGGCTGGTTGGCCACGTTCGTGCACTCGCCTGCTGCCAGAACACAAACAGTTTGTGCGGCAATTGCGAAATGGACGGTTGGTCGTTGCGGATAAATGTATTATGGCGCGAGTTGCTTTTTGGCGAGTTTTCATTGGTGTTGTCTTAGAGAAGAATGAAAAGTAAATTAAGCGAAGTTTGCGTGGAATGTTTAAGGAAAAGGGAAAACTTTACAAAAATTTTGTTAGAGAAAGTTGAAAATAATATATTTGAATTTAAAATTGAAAAAATAAAACAAGTTTGTAAGATGAATATTTTGCATTTCTCTGCTTGACTTCTGTGAAAAAGACTGCAGTTGTGTAAGAAAAAGGCAAAGAACTGGCTCCTGCTAACAGCAGAAATTCAAAGTTGTTTGACAAGTTTAATACTGAAGAAGTGAACAACGAAAATATTTGAAAGACTTTGTGAAAGGAATCGAAATCATGTTGAAATTTCATAGTATGAAATTATGAAAAAAATTTTAATAAATTTCAATAAAAAATTACTTAAGTTTAATTAAAAACATATTTTTTAACTATCTAAAACACAGTAAAAGTTATATTAAAAAAATACAGTGAAATTTTGTTTAACAAATTCCAAACCATTCGACAGACATCAACTCAAGTCAGGCGTCAAAAGCATCAATCATCTCGACAGTTGTTTCATTCAAAAGGTTAATTTTAAATTATATATATATATAACTGCATACATATTACATATTTTGTGTTAACAAGCCGGAGCAACCTTTTTACCATTTTTTCTTCTATGTCAGATCCAAATCCTTCAATTTAACAAACGTAAAACGAGCGCCTTGCCGATTTCCCTTACATTTATCCTAAACGTTTGGAGTGTTTTTTTTTTTTTTTGCTCGCCACTGCATGTGAATGCATACACACAAATGGAGACCGGCAAGCCTTTGGGTAATTCATCTATTCTTGTAACGGTATCCTCAACATCATTCGCGAGCATACTACCGTCTGATTTGTCAGCAATTTTTAAGGTTTACTTAACGATTTTCCGGCAATTCAGTGATTGCTTTTATTAACGCTTACCTCTGCTGTTTGCATTTTCGCAGTTATCGACACTTAAATACATACATACAGACATGCAAACAGACATACAAACATTGTTCAACTTTACAGAGCAAGAATTTGCATAGAACTCAGTTACATACGTACTCATGTATATTCGCATATTTCTACTTGAAGTTTTGAGTTTGCTTGAGTTTTGTGGATATTTTCCATGCCAGTGAACGTTCTACCCACTCAAAGTATAACTCGTTGTACACACTTCAACAGATTACATACTAATATCATTTACATACAATACATATTGGTTAGTTGGTTGGTTCTCTACTTCGTTAGCAAGGTAACTCTTTGCCGGTCTGCTGGGTCGTTTGGTTACTTAGCTGGTTGACCGGCTGAATGTTGTTTCCGTGGTAACGACAACATTGACAACGATTTAATAAATGCTCTTAACCCTTGGGAAGTGATTTAGTTACAGAACATCAAAGTTATTTCTGGGTAGAAAGTTTAGCATTTATCAGTGAGGTCATTCAGGTGGGTAAATATTAAATGTATCTGGTGCAATATAAATTCAACGTGTATGGTGGTTGCTTACTCATTTCTGGTTGATTTATTGGGTAGTAAATTTAGTAAATAAATACTAAAAAAAACAAGGATTAGTTCGCTTTCAGCATTTATTTTTGTCGATGGCACACACATTATTTAATTATATATTTTAATTTATTTGGTTCTAAAGAAGTGCATCTGCTGAAGCACTATCTGACTTATTCGCCTTAAACATTTGATTGCTTGTGTTAAGATGATACTAATCGCCCTGATGAAGCTTGTTCGATCTTTTTTGGAGATGACCCAAAAAAGACTCTTTCGTTCTGTTAAAGTCCAAAGCAAGCGCCAAAAGTTTTGAAGTAGTAATCGATAGCGGTGCTAATGCTTTAAGAAAAAGGGCACATGTGCAGTTCTTCAAAAACGGTCGAGGCTACAATTATATTCCCGAATATATCAACATTTGTGGGCAGTAAATAAGTGCATCAAGGATCAATTTAACTATATTGCATATTCGAAAAATAATTCCAATGTCATCGGGAAGTTCATAAAACATTATACCAAGAGACATCAAAAACTAGTTAATTTTGTTTAAAAAATTTGAAAAAACTACAACATTTTTCATTTTCGATATTGTAAGTTGGATAATTTTTCTTCACAAACTCCGAACAGCTGAATATGGTAATTAAAAATGTCCCGAAAAAATCTTATTATCACTATTTAAGCTTCCATTAAATTTCTGAACGATAAGTGGTACTGACTCATGCCACTTTAGAAAAATTTAAATTTTGTTAAGAAACTGTAAATCAAATAAATATTCTGTTTTTACTTTTTATAGCTAATTTAATTTTGGTATTGAATAGCTTTTAGTCATTAATTAAAAAAAATAATTTATATATTAGTAGAAAAAATCTAGGCGTAGACCGCAAATTGTAGGAGTTTGGTAAGTTCCAATTCTATATAAGAATAAAGTCATTGAATAAAACCGTATCTATGATATTTTCGAAACACCAATTTTTGTGAAATCTGATCAGCATCGCACATAAACATCGTTACATAACATTATTCTATGCAAACTTTACTTTATGAGTTCGAGTTTGAGTTACGGAAAGCCCTTTTAGATGTTATCAGAGGGGCTTTAAATAATAAATTTTATCTATTGTAAATTTAAAACGTCAAAATAATTTTAATGTCAACAGATTTTCTTTAAAGGAGTAGAAATTTTATTTTTTTTTTTTAATTATTTTTCGTTAATATGTTTTTACTCATGCTTTAAGCCAAGTTTTGTCTAGAATACCGGGGTTATCAAGAGGAATAACTTCTCTAGAGACCGCAGATGGGATTCACAATTTTTTTCCTTGGAAAGCCTGTTATTTAAAGAAGAAAACAGAACATCTACTAACCCTAGATTATGAAGCAAAATTGTCTAGTTCACAATTTTAAAACGAAATAAATTACGGTAGTTAGTCTACTTGATTTGCCTACTTTGAAATCTTAGTTATCAAGGGAGACCAAGAAATCTCATGCTTCAAAATTTGTTGCAAAATGGTTGAAATTAAAAAAATGTGGAATTTTTTCACGATAATATTCATTACCAAACAATGCTCCTTGTTCTCCGAATCTTTTTAGAAAAAAGAAAACATTCTAAGGTGATTTTGCTTTTTCGCATATCTTAGCCAATCGTAATTTATTTATGAATTTTAAGAACGCTATAAGCTATTATTTAACTTTGAATTGCGAGTAATTGGTTTTAATATTACATAATTTTCCAATGATTTTGAAATATGTATACCGAGGTCTTTAATACATACGTATATGTAGATCATGGATAAGTTAGATGATAGTGATTAATGCTTTTGTCGCACCAGCGTGGCGGAACAAGTATGGCAAGAAATGTGTTAAGGTATGATTTATGAGTTGTGTTGTGGTGTTATAAGGCTGACAACATAGCGAGAAAGTTGAAATAAGTCGTGAGCCACTGGTGAGCCCCTTTGATTGTAGTAATAACAGAGGAATATGTGTTGTCCAAAGGGTTGTAAGAACAACTTACAAAGTTATTAGGAAACCCTAAAAGGCCATTAATCAAAAATACTTTCTAATACTAGAACTTATCGCACATATTGAATGAAATATATAATGATTATAAGAAATAGTGTACAAGCATTTCTTCTTTTAAAATACATTACTTTATATTCACCAAAAAACAAAAAAGAAAAGAGAAAAGTAGATAGAATATGGTGTGCCATCTTTTACGTCGGCATGAGGAAATTGATTTACTTCAAATAAAAATGATTTCCATATTTAAAATATTTTATTTAAAGAACTTGCTTATTAGTTTGAGAAGCACTGAATATGAATAAATTAAATCAGAAATTTTACTTGTTTTTTTTTTGTTAAATAAAAATCTAACAAAAATATTTCATTCAAATGAACAGACCAGGCATTTGGCTCATTAAAAAGGTATAACAAAAAATATATGAAAAAACGTTGTTTCAAAATCTCATGAGAGGCTTGCGATTAATATTCGTCGAATTCGTCAATTTCTATATACCCCATACATATTTTTCGTCCTCTTTCCGGAAAATATATAGTATATATATTGGTAGCCTCCTGGTATGCACTAGCTAGCCACTCAGCTATGCTAACATTAATTCTATATTTTCTGCAGCAAAAAAAAAAAAAAAAAAAAGATTGATAGACGCCCGCCTGCATTGAATTACATTATTATTCTCTATTCCTCCTCATTCCGAAATAATTATGCGCTGCTTTTGTCTCTCGCTGTTGAAATATGCGGCAGCTGCATATTTTTCAATATTTTTTTCCAAACACTTTCTGTACACTTGTTTGGCATAATCCTTTAACAAAGTAATAAAAAAAAACTGCAACGAACATTCATATCGACAAACACATGCATGTATATATGCATAAACAAGTCCCAAGCCACTGTCTGCAGCGACAAAGAGAAGGAACGCAAAAAAAAAAAAGTAATAAAGGAAGAATTAACCAACAATTTTGTGCCACTTTTTTGCTGGCGATTTTCGGTTGTCGTCAACATTTTGCATATTTCTCATTTCAAGTCGCTGCTGTTGCCCCAACTGACCAAGCAACATGAGACCGACAAGCAGCGCTGCCAGGCCACAAAAGGAGGCAGCTCAGGCATTACAGAAAAAGGAAGAAAAAACTAAACTGATGCTTGTTATACGGCATGTTGCCTGGCGCGCTGGTCGTCTGAAATGAGCTGCAAGCCGGTTGCTTCGAACGCGATGTAGGAGCACTCGTGCTGTGGTTGTAAAAGCAATGTGTATAGTTTGTGTGTGTGTGTGTGTGGAGCGGCATTATGAGGTGCGGCGCTGAGTTTATAATACTTTTTGTGTACATGAGAAGCCCGCAAAGAACAAGTTCACCGCAAGCAGCTCCAAATTCGGAGTAGTTACAAAAACAAACAGCAAAAAGCAGGAGCGCTTAAAAAGCAGCTGTAACCAAGCTTGCGTCAAGAGCCGAACAAAGACTAGCAATGCACAACGGTGGCGGCTGCACATGGGAAGACTGATTGCGAGAAGTGAAGTTTTTTTCGTGTTGACAAAAGCAGAGTAGCCGACGAACAGCGGCACGAGTAAATAAGCATGAAAGTCGCCAAAGAACTTTCAACATACTTACTTATGCCCTCACCCACACAGCCGTACCCGCATACGTACATTTAGTTGCATGAAAGGTTCGTGAGCTCGGATGAGTGCCGCCATCTCCTGCACGAACTCTTTAGGCGGCATTTACCTCATGTGATGGTTTTTCTTCTTGGCGTTGAGCACTTCATCTTTTCGGCCACATTTCATCGCTTTTTCGACAGCTCCATCGGTGACTGCTTTACATAGCGATTCGCTTCCTTTTTTCGGTTATTGTGGTGCTTCGAATTTTTTCGTTGTTTCTTCTTGCTATTTTCTGCAGCTTTTTTCCCATATTTGGAAGTTCGTATTGCTTGGCTGTTTGGAAGGTCTCTTAGCAGAAACTTTACCAATTTTAGGCGAATTTAAATTTTTGTGACACAACTCGGAAATGAGAAGACAAAAATACCTCATTAAATTTAATCAAAACCATGAAAAATTTCAAC